TTTTATTTTATTATATAACTATAATTATTATAAACATAGTCTGTGATGTTTAAATATTTAAGATTTGTCTAAAGAATCTCGTAAGTCTATCCTAGTTAGGACATTCCTAAGAGAGCTTCTATGTCGATCTTAAGAACTCTCTTAGGACCATCCTAAGTTTTGTCCTAAGATATCTCTTAAGTCATATCTTAGGACTATTCTTATGACACTTTCGAAAGCATACCCGCTGGTCACTTTCAATGTTGTAGTTTTGATTAGTCTCTGATGTTAGTTCCTCTCTTTCTCTGTTTTGTTTTTTCATTAGATCTAGTTTCTTGCTTACCAAGTCCATTTCACCTAAAAGAACTTTATCGAAAGAAAAAAACAAAGTTTAAAAGTATTTATTGTTTGTTTGCCACTAAAAATGATTACATGCATCTTGGTAGTCACACTTGATTTCTTTTTTTTTTTTTTTTTTTAAAATTGGATGTCTTATTAAGTTTTTTATTAAAATAATTATTCATTATGTCTATCAATCGCCATTGAATAAACATTTCTAAAAAGAAATGGGTAAGATAAGATTTTGATTTCAGGAATGTAAAAATATTAAGTATAAAATAACCTATTAGTGACCTTGATTTGTTTCAGATCCAATAATAAAAAAAGATTAAAATACAAAATGTAATTGCAATATAATTGAATAGTAATGGTCATTAATAACATTTTTTGAAAGTAATGAATTACATTACAATTACTTGTAATTGAAAGACGGATCCATTACACATTACATCCTATTACTTTGAAGAAACGTAATGATTACAATGCATTACCATTACACTTTACCATTACCCCAGGTCTGTCTGCAAGTCTCCTGCCCGGGAGATTGAAGTAGGATTTTAATCAGAAAATACACTATTGTTCATTTTAATATAGTAAATGATGTCTCAGTTCGGATTTTAGCTTGCAATGTTTAACAGAGCATCAGATTTTAGTAATCCATCAACTTTGTACTGAAACCCTCTTTTCTCTCGATTCGTTTCTACTTCCACCATTTCTATACTGTTACAGGCACGTAGTATCAAAGGGGGGTACCCGTCTTCTTTTAATTTTAAGCTCAAATAAGCATCATACTGTAATGCTTTATCTATGCCCAATGCTTTATACATAAGAAAGAATTCTCTTTCTCCTGCATGCGCGGATCTAGAAGGGGGGGGGGTGGTGGTTCCGGACCCCTCCCCCCTGGAATTTCCAGAGTTATTACGAATTATTAACAGTATATACTCAACCAAATAAAAAATGACTGTACTCCCCCTGGAAAACGTGGACCCCACCAACACCACCACGAAATAGGTTATTTTCACGTCTAGGAGTGGGGGGGGGGGGGTTGTTTGTCAAGTTATAGTTTAGTTTAGTTTTTTTTTCTTTTTTGCTTTTCAAGAAATTTTTACTGGGGTGGAACCACCCTGGAAAAAATTCCTACATCCGTGCCTGTCCTGTATGAAGCCCTTTTTTTGAAATCATAATAAAAAAAATAATAAAATTGTAGAGTATATACGTTTTTACGAACAAATACTTACATAAAACCGAGAACGCGTATAGTAAATTTACTTTGCTCACAAGAGCATTGCTCATGAGTGAATAAACATTTATTGATTGGGTTCGAGGGCAACATGCGTTTTGTCGGACCTTAGAAGCAAACTGCCTGAGGCCGTTAGGCCGTTTATTTATTTATTTTTTATAAACGAGGCAAGCAAACAAGTTGATGAAACAAGAATATCAACAGTCATCATTTCGCAAGTTCTATGGTCGATACAATGACCTTGTCAGCAAATACAACCTATCATTAGGTCAAATGCTGGCTGACGCTTTTCATACTAATTGTTAGGCCATTTTTTACACACTGGAACTTCTACGGATTTTTTTTCGTTTGCCCGATTATGACTGCGGGTGTGACCGGTCGACAGGGGATGCTCACTCCTCCATAGCACCTGATCCCGCCAATGATGTTTTTGAGGTCCGTGTTAGCTCTGCTCCCGATTTGTATTGTTTAAATGGACTATGAGTTTGAATACTGTTCGTTATCTCCATATTTCATTTGACATAAATGTATCTTGTGCTGGTTTCCATGATGTAAATTTTCTTTATCAGTATTGTGGTAAAACTCGGTCAATTCTGTCACTGTCGAACTTCAACGAATGCCAATAAGGTTTTGCTGATCCTGTCCACACTGTGACTTAAGCGGTCCAATATCTCATCGACAGGTCCAATATCTCACTCTGCGGTCGAACATCGATTGTTTTATGATCGCTCAGTAAAACATTGGAAATATTAGACATTTGTAAGTATATATTTATATAGTAACCAGTTTTTAAAGGAATAACAAACTAATGTACTTATGAGTATAAATACAGTAATAGTTTACTGTTACACCTGTGTGAAATTACATGATTTGTACAAGTCTGATTGGATTTCTAATTTAACTTCAGCAGTTGACTTTTACTGACATTTAAACTTCTCGAAACGAATTTCAGTTTTTTGGAACAAAATTTTATATAGTTATTATTAAATGAGTGCATATTTAATTAAAATATTGATCTTTGAAGACATTTTGCTCCTATTCTTGAGGAGGATTGTCTTTTTCGTTTCTGGAAATGCGTAGAGGATCAAAATTAATTCACTTTAGTGCCATAGGTAGTCAATGATAAATGGAGTTTTGTGCCACAGAAAAGTAAATTTATGTTAGAACATCCATTGAAAATAAAATGTAGTATTTTAGGTTTATATCCTAACTAATATCATGTTCAGTACACTTTCGGTCATCGACTACAACAAAAGAAAACATTATATGCAGGTAGCTTGTTTATGGGAAAGTGCGTTAAGGATGAATGTACGGGCGGATGAACAAGCAAAAAAAGAAAAGAAAGGGGATTATAGAAAGAAACAACAAATCAATAGTCTCTAAATTCCTCCCTTATCGAAAAAATATTAAATTCATGAAATTTATATTCACAGCACAAAAACATGGGTCCTAATTAACATAAACAGTTTTGAAGTGCAAGAAAACGCTTGAAAGTCCCATCAAACTATTCAGTGGTGTAGGAGGAATTGCAGATAAGAGAGTATCCCCAATATTAGAGAGGTTGAGATTTTCATAAATTGGTCGAAATGTAAAATAGGAGGTACATGTGTCTGGTCGAAAAGTAAAGTAGGAGGTGCACAATGGCACTATATGATAGAGATTCTGTGAAAATATCATTAAATTTTATTTTGTAGTATAGGAGGTGTTGCGGATAAGAGATGGGTACCCCCAGTAATAAAGAATGAACGTGTCCAAAATTTGCCATGTGTCCGAGAAATATAAAAAGGGTCATAGAAAAAGGATATGCACAATGGCACTTTAGTGTAATAAAGATTCTGTGACAGACTCATTTAATTTTATTCAGTGGTATAGGGGAATTTGTGGATAAAGGATATACCCCAAGTGTTACGGACCGCAACCCCCATCAGCCCCGCAAAATAAAATTGAAGATGTATTATACTAACAGGGTGTTGCAGAATTGTACCATAGTTAGGTGTGATTTCTTTTGTTAGAAGTGTGGGTTATCTGTACATGCCCTCGTTCTCATGAAGATATAATTAGTTTCATTGGCTGCTTTGTAAAAGCCTATTCTAATTTTGACAAATCAAAAAAAATAAAAAAAATAAAAAAGAAATCGGGAGTTTTTAGGAGACTAGGTTAAAGAGACTGGGTTATAGAAATCATGCAGTATGTTTTTGTTAACTAAAGAGTCAAAGAAGTGAAGAATACTCAAAGAGGCTACGTGCCTGCCATGAGAAGATCTACTCACATTCAGTTTTTATCTTGTCACCCGACAATCTCTACCTATCGATTTCATGGTTGCAGCCCTCATTCTTTTCTGGTTTTACTTCCAAAATAGAAGTGGTCAGATTCCATGAATGCAACTTTAATTGGTCGGTATAAAAACCCATAAGATAAGAGGCCCATGGGCCACAATGTTCACCTGAGTAACTAATTGTCCTTCATCAGCAGATTCTTTTTCCTATATATTCCCATATAAAACTTAATCAACCATTGTAGCCCAACCTGATCACCGTAGGTCACGAGGTTAAATTGCTGTTCCTGGGAAAAGATTTTTTGGGGGCATCTTAATTGTATCCCCACCTTGTGGTCCAATCGGACAAGTGTGTCTGGAGACTGACTTATCTAGTCAAAAAATGAGCTGGGCATTGACATTCGAACAAACGTTAATGTTGAGACCTCCTTTCGGGTGGTTGCTAACTATATAAAGTGCAAGCCTCTGTAAAAATCAGGCAAAGTAGGTTTGAAAGTGAATCACAAAGGTTCTCAGAATTTGATGATTTTCACCTCACAGATTTCTCAAAAAACACAAAACATGCATGTCTACCCATGTCTAGTACAGAAATATCTCAAAATCTTATTTCTATGTAATGCATTGTGAAAACACTTTAAATGTTTATCTTTACAATAAGAATAAAAAGAAGAAATTCTTAAATATTCACAATCAATTTCAAGCCCTTAAGTTTACTGATTTTTTTGTCCATACACATGGAAAATTGACTGGTTGCTAGGGAAATTTCTTTAGCCATGTTTCCATAGTAACCATGACTCAAACTTTTTTTAATTTTGCATACATGGTTTATAGAACAAGTGAAATCTATGTGGTGAAAATCATCTGATTCTGAGAACCCTCATGATTCATCTTTTGCCTGATTCTTACAGAGACTTGTACTTAAAATCGATACATTTTGAAAACATTTTTACAGCTGATTCTCTGCTATATTTCTTTTTAATACTTTGCCTCCCAACGTTCAACCCCTTTCAACCCCTTAGCCTTAATCAACCCCTTTGCCTTTCAACCCCTTAATCATTTCACAAAAAATGAGAAAAAAAAAATCCATTTACAGAATATATGTGATTTAAGGTTATCTCAACAAAGTAAAAGTACCAGTGGTGATGAAGAAAAAAGAACACAGAACAGTTTTGTAAAAACAATATAATTTTTAATATTTTTATAGTACACATGTATGTGGAAAGAATTACAAAACACTTTCTGTTTAACACATTAACAGTGAAATGAATAATAAAATATAGGTTCTATGATAAAAATATACATCTTAATTATACACATTAAAGTTAAGTTGACTCTGTGATCAGATTTATTAACCTCAAAATAGAGCTATTGTTTTCCAAGTTTAAATAAAGCATCCTTTCAGATGTCTCGATAAATCAAAACAGAGCTTCAAGTAAATGAAAACTAATACAAAAAAAATCATTTTAACGAAAATTTTATGGTAAAAAATATAAAACAAAAGACTTATACGTGTATAATAGTAAAAGTGCGTAATTTTTTTAACACAGGTACATATTAGAAGGCATATTTATAAAAATTTCGCGTCTATTCTTTACAAGATTTTTTTTAAACATACCCGTACTTATTCCTGTAAATTTCATGACTATTTGAAGTATAATTAAACTGATGAAGAATTAAATCTGCAATCTAATTAATAAATATTAATTCACTTATTAACTATATTAACAAAACAAATAATAACAACACTACTAGATTAAATGTCTTACATAATAAAGGTTTTACATTTATAAATGGAAATAGCATCATTACCGTATCAATAAAATAAGAAAATTGAATCAAGCTTATATACTTACCAGGAATAATTTGATATGTTAAAAGCATAATGTTTATTACATGCAGACCAACAACACACAATATACAGATAATTCGCAATATGACAAACAATTTTAACGTCGTAAAAACGATATGGACACAGTGGGATTTTAAAATCGTCCTGATACAACTTGCAAATAAAAATCTTTGGCTCCTTGGTTTTCTTCCACCATACTGGGGTTTGACGTCTTTATGTAGGTCTTACATACGCTTGTAACGACCCAATTCTTTTTTGCAGTTTGGACAGGTGTGAACGACATCTTTGAGGGAATCAATACATAAGGCAATGAAACAAAACGGCCATAACCTGAAATATGAGGCAAAATGCTCTTTTTACGTCAAACTTGACTGCGTCGTTGTTAGGATTTTTTTTAGTGATTATGCAAAGGATTTGCAGGGATTTGAAAACTTGCAACTTATGTGAATTTGAGGAATTTTCCAAATTTGCTAATATATATTCACGACGTCGGAGTAAGGGGGGGGGGGGGGGGGGTCATACACAACTTATTCCGGATTTCTGTTGATACTCTACATCGCTTTATGGACATCTATAATTCATTGATAATTTTATTTATTTGCCTTCTTCCCAGAAGATTTCGCGTGTCCTCTTACAACACTAAAATATGGAGAATGTCTGACACAAAAGTAAAATATACTGTTATAGTGGTGTCATGTTATCTCGATGGTAAAATAATACCCCCGATTCCGCCGAAACAGTGTTTGCAAGTGTAAAGCGCAAGTCATGTTTTACAAAAAACATTTGCAGTCCTTTTCACTGACAAATTTTAATAAATTTATTGAACTATAATATATATGCAATGATTCGATTAATTATTTTTAAGGCATATATATATATTTTTTAGATGCTTGACGGCCAATTTAGCCAACAGCTGTTTACCACTACAGCACAGGATTTCAATGGTATTTACATAACCATATATTCACAATGTTATCTTTCATAAGTGTGAATAATACAGCTACGTAACCGGTAACTTTAATGCTTTACACAGACTGAATATGTTTATCAGTAATGTGTTCACTATCTGAAATAAGACGATTTTCCCTGCAAAATTGGAGGTACATGTACATTCTGGCGAATCGAAAAATGAATTTCCTTTTGTTACAAAATCCAGTTTGCTTTTTCTTTTTTGATTTCTGGATGTTATATACATGTAATATACATACTAGTATATTACATTATATTTTAGTCTTCACGTTGAAACTTTAATTTCACTGTCACGATTTTTTTTTTTATTTCGTGGCCGCGAATTAATAAAAAAAATTCTCACACCACACATGTCCTGTAAATTTCTATAGCCCTAACCCTAAAGTCCAATTCTAACTCTAAACCTTAGCCCTGGCCCGGACCCTAAGACTAACCCTAGCCCTCTAACCCTAACACTTAGCCCTAACCCTATCCCTCTTACCAGGTAATTAAGCCTGTAGGAAGAAGGCGACATCTGTTGTAGAATAGATAGCTTAATAGAAAGTGTGCACAGTATTTATATATAATGAAATTGGTCATCAAATAAATATATCAGATTATTAGTACCATATCGATGCAGTAAACATGTCCAAACCATGGTAAACAGAAAGCAGGTAGCTGGTTAATAAATACAAGTTACGAAACATCGGACGCGATTTATGGTGTTACATTTAATATAAAAAAATCGCACTGATAGAATTTAGGTTTACATCGTACATTGTATGAGTAGAAATAATTGTGCATATTTACCCATATCACTGGTAGCCAGCTTAAAGGCAGGGATTTTTAGCACCGCCTTCAAAATTACCTGGTCTGTGTACCCCTGTCAATCAAGTGCATTAAGGTACATCATTGGGTGCTAGAACTTGATTGACATTTACTTTCTAGTCCCTGTGTATACCCTGTACACCTTGTTTGGCACTCGTGCTGACCTTCAAATTAACTTTTGATCCTTTGATATTTACCACACATGGTATAAATAGAGGAGCTGTATTACTTTGGAATTTTTAGCTTGATAATATATATATTTACACACACCTTTAGTATTAGTCTTTTAATATGATAATATAATTTTATATCACAATTTTGTATAACTTTTCTTCAAAGCTCAACAAATACTTTGAATAATAATTTTTTAATGGGTTGGGATGCTATGACACACATTCATTTACAAATTAAATAAAAGCTATTGAGATTAAACTTTATTTACAACTTTTTATTTCTAATTTAAAATCTCAAAATCCCAATACAGGTAAAGTTTGACTTCTTGGGTACTCTACTGTGTATTAAATCACTTCCTGTGTATAGGGATTAGGAGACAAATGACCACAGGTAGACTGCTAGCCCTCAAGGCATTCACACCTGTACAAAATTAGCCCCTCCCTCACCTGGAATTTACCACCCGGTAAAAAATCTCTGCCCTTAACCTTAGAGACTGAATGGATGAAATTGAGTGCCTTTATGTGTCCGAATTTAGCATCACTATAAAAGATGAATAAAGCGTGTTTTTATCAACACTCAGTGTAAGATGACACTGCTAGCCATGAATAGGACTTACATAAAATTATGCAGTGTGTCTGCTGTCCAACCTTATATTGTAGGTATAATATCATACTGTTTATAAATCAATATTTTCCCATTTAGAATGATGAGATTGTGATAAATAACAGTTCATTACCAGAAGCAGGCGATCAGAACACACATGCACCAAGCAAATGTTCCTATTTCTGTTGCTGTGCCAGTCACCACGTCTGCTTGACAATGTGGACATTTCATCTGAATTGGATACCGTCCGAACTTCAGAACTCCCCCCGGGTATCCAGAGGGCTGGACGACAACTACATCTGATATAACGAAACAGATAATTATATTCATGCAATCTCTGACGGGGTTTGTGCTGCGATCGAGGAGTGAAATCTGTTACAAATTAATATAAATTGATTACAAAATTGTTTTTAAATAAAGTTTCATTGGGGATTGGAGCAGTCATTTTATTTTCGAAATACATTCATATTCAATATATAAAGATTAAGTGAAATAATAAATACATGAATATCATTTTAATCAGATTTTTAATTATGTCATTTAAAATATTATATTCCTGACATACAGAACATTATTTCAAGTCCTAAAAATTAGTAAGTGGTTTTTCATTTTAGAAGTTGTGTTGGTGACTCACTTTGTTGAACTTGTGTTGTGTAGCTCTGGGGATATCCTGGCTGACTAGGGAAACTCTCGGGGTTCAGATTGGGGTATCCAGGATCTGTAATTATTAGGACAATAAGAAAGTCACTACTGCTCTATTATCGTAGAACGTGATTACTTATTATCACAAGTTCATGAAATATTGATTACATTCATATACTGCATATCATTTTGTTGATCTAAATTCTACATGTATATTTAAACAAACAACACACATGATATTTTTTTCAATGAATCAAACATTTTTGTATATATCTACACCCGTTAAATTTATGATCTATCGAAATGGTTGTCCAATCCAGACTATCGTACTCATAAATGATGACAAAGTCAAAGAACGAAGAAATAGGCCAAGGCAGTGTCCTCGTTCTTCACCCCGGGACTATATAAATTATCTATTATGATCTATCCTGACAAAATTTTGCTGAACCTTTCTCCACTTACTTTGTCCTTTTTCACTGTACGGTGGCGGTGGCTCCGACATTATGTGTGAGTGAGGTTTTGTGGTGCTGGTATATTTTGCAACTTTCACTTCGTCAAAATCACGTGATAAAAACAATCGATTTCATACGACAGACCGGACATGTCATAATATACTATTAATGTGATAGATTAAGGAGGGATTCTTCTCATATTTCTAGTATTTAAGAATTAATGAAATTTTTCATAGATTCAAGAAGACATTATCATTAAGTGATGGTATCAATTAGATTAAATTTGACCGTTTTATTTTAAAAGCAAGGCAGGTCAAGGTCATTACCTTTTTCCTTGACCGTAAGAATAAAAAATTACTATCGCCAATCATGCGATGCCTACTTCTATTTCAAAAGATTAAATGTTTTTCTTTTTGCATAAAAATATATTATCATATAGGGGTCTATCAGCTAGATGATACTACCAAATTGACATAAATAATTTAACTAAAATAGATATTGGCTAATCCGAAAGTCCTCTATTTTTCTTAGATTTTTAGGATACATGTATATTAGTTATTTTTATATGCTTTGTAGATTTAATTTTTTTCTTATTTTCACATATGGTAAAGTAGTCATATAAAAATACAAAATAGTTCAAAAACAAAAAAAGTTTTGACCGTTTGCTAAGAGAGAAAAAAAGAAGACTTTTTACGGATTTTTTGCTCAAATCTGTACTTAGATTGGAAACTTTTAAAAGTTAACCAAAATATATTCATTTGTGGTATCTCTCTTTTATATAAACATACAGAGAGCAAATATCTTCATACCTGTATGAAGTTTTTCGAAGGTCATAGGTCATTACGTGACCTAATCACACAGCGCAGTAATATCTACATAAAAAGACTTACTCTACACAGCAATATAGCATGTTTTTCATGCATAAAAATGTACAAAATACCCAAGTAAGATAATAATCATTTTATTTACAATGTAAACGAGTAATTAATACAGTTCTTGATCGATTTTACAAAGAGAATAGAAAACTACGTGTTATAAATTTCATGTCTGACCTGCATGGTCTCAACGTTTACCCTTATTTTTCTTGTAGACCTCTGAATGCTTTTTTTTTTCATTAAACTTTACTCACAATAAATTTGAAAATCTGTTGGAAAATATCAGTGTAATGGAATCACGCCACAAACAGCTGACAAACACTGCACTTCGGAAGTTCGGTAGGCACACATACCTCCATCATCGAGATTGTCTTAACATTGTAAGCTGTCGCCTGTGTCTCCGTGTCAACATCATGATAAATATGCCATATTGAAATCGTAGATTTTATGTTTCTGATCAAATTTTAAACTTGATTCCAAGTTAACTGGTCCGGACAAGTGTCTCCATCCACCCTTTTCCGACCGAAATTCCTCCAACTTTTTATTATCAAACATCGGACGTGTTTCTTGTGGGGTTTTTTAACATCGAATATGGGTTCTCACGAATACAAAAGTTACAAGAGATCAATATGCTCACTATAATTAATCACAAGTAGCCTTTCACAGAATATTCCCTTCAAAACAGAATCCTTTGCCAGATGACTTTGAAGCGTAACCGCCTTTCAAGCCGATTTACACCTTGCGTAATTTGTCAAAATCTACGACGAACAGTTAGTGCAATATTTATATTCGATTATATTCGATTGTCTGTCTCAAATGTATATATAAGTAATAAATAACAAGTTTAAAAACTTCACTGGGAAATGAAGTGGGTCGGTACGTGATCAAATCTTCTGAGAAGGCCTTCGGCCTTCACAGGATTTGAACACGTGACCGACCCACTTCACTTCCCAGAGAAGTTTTTAAACTTGTTATTTATTTCTTAATTGTAGTTTGTTTTGGAAATCATATTTATTTGATATATTTAAAAACTTCAGTCCATTATTATTAATTTTACTTACATTTGAAATTTTCTTTAAGTCTTTGATTGTTTAAATTTTTTTTACTTAATTAATTGTTCTATAGTAATTTTGAGAACAGAGGAATATTTTCATACGCCGCCGTTCCGCCAAAAATATAGTCCCTGCTATATTTCAAACTCAGTTTACCACTTTTATTTAAAGTTGTAAATTATGTTGAGGAAAGAAAAATATGATCTTTTATATCCCTTACATCTGAATATATAAGACATATAAGCAAATATACTTTGAATATTTCATCTAGTCAGAAACCAGACAAGGATCCCTCCTTAATGCAACTCTTGAGAGTCATTGCATATGTATTTTAATATGCTTTTACATTACCAAGACCACAACAATATATAATGATAAAATAACAGACTTTTTCGCATCTAGGGTTGGAGTTAGACAAGGTGATGTCCTTAGCCCAAGTATATTTAAACTCTTTATAAATGACCTCCCAAGTATTTTTGGATGACAATTCTGTCCCTGTTACTCTAGATAAAGAAAAGATTTCATGTCTTCTGTATGCAGATGACCTTGTTTTAATATCCAATACGAAATCAGATCTTCAACATAAACTCAATCTCCTCCATGATTACTGTAGTGAGTGGTGTCTAGAAGTAAACATTAAAAAAAAACAAAAGTAATAATTTTTAATAATTCGTGTAAATTACTGATGGAAGCATTCCATCTGGGTAATGATATTATAGAATGTGTAAAACAATATAAATATCTGGGGATAACTCTTGAAAACAATGAAAAGTTTATTGAAGCAAAAAAAAAAAAAAACAAACAAACAAACAAACAATTGTATCAAAAAAGCTTGAAGGCATGCTTCAAATTTTATAGAGATATAAAAAATGCTAATCCCTCTATAAAAACATTTTTACATATATTTGATCACTGTATTAAACCTATAGCTTTGTATGACTGTGAGAACTGGAGCTTTATGAATGTTACTCCAAAAATGAAAAATGTCCCTCTTTTTGATATATTAAAAGATTGGGAAGTTGAAAAACTCAATATGAAATTCTGTAAATATTATGGAGATATCTAAAACTTGTACAAACGTAGGAATCTATTCTGAACTGGGAAGGTATCCATTATATATAGATATGTTAAGCAAATTTTCATGTACTGGTATAGACTAGAACATACATGCATCATCTAATTTACTGGAGGCAGCTTTCAATGAGTGCAAGTCAAACACCATCAACAGTGATTGGTACTCCTGTATATTATTCTACAGTGAAAAACTACATATTGATTTGTTCCTTTGCAAAAAAAATAAGTGAAAACAAATTTAAATTGTACATTAAAAAGCAATTACATAATAATTTTTTAAACTCTTGGAAAGATATCCATACCAATTAATTAGAAGTATTTGGTAAATTAAGTACATATTTTAAGTATAAAAGGTCATTCAATTTTGAAAAATACTTGAATATGAAAAACCGGGACAATCGGGTAATTCTCACAAAATTCAGAATTAGCCATCATTGCTTAAGGGTAGAGACGGGTAGATATGAAAGGATACTTAATAAGTGTGGTAAAAATGAAATTCTTCCCAGGAGTGAAAGAGTCTGTCGTTACTGTACTTCAAGTCCAACTGAGGATGAAATACATTTTTTGCTAGATTGTTCATTGTATAATGATTCTAGAGGAGAGTTTTTAAACAAAATCTTTAAACTTTTCCAAATTTAGTACTGCTTAATAATGTGGATCTGTTTACATGGATTATGTCAAATGAAGATTTTGAGTTTTTTGTTTTATTATGCCAACATTTAAATGAAAATTTTAATATGAGAAAACAACATAGTACAATATAGGCATATTACAGTCATTATACATATACTATCTGTAGCCTATACATTTTATGCATCCTAAAAATTGGCAGCTAACTCTCTGATCAATATACAATTGTTTGTTTTGTTCTGTTTATTGTTATTTATGACTATGATTTCGGACATTGTTCATCTTTATGCTCCACTGTGGGCCCAAATTGGTTGAATAAATATTCTATTCTATAGTATCAATGAATTTTATGATCATAAATTCATAAAATACAAAATTATGCTGGTTTGACATCTAAATTGGCCGATATGAAATAAGCTAATAGAAATTAACTCTGGCCTGTAGGAAGCGAAGGGGGCAAGGGGGATGTTCCCAAATAATTTAGCAAGTTAAAATCAGGGCCGTAGCAACGGTTTCAAAAGTGTGGGGGGGGGGGGCCTCCCAAATAAATCTGACAAGCAAAACAAAAAAAAAAAAAAACAACAAAAAAAAAAAAACAACCTAAACTGTCCAAAAAGTGTGTGTGTGTGTGGGGGGGGGGAATGTTCAGAAAAAAGTAGGGGCACCCCCCCCCCCCGCGTTTTTCGGGCCTTGAAAAGCATGTATTGCTGAATAAAAAAAATCAAATAAAGTGAAATCGGTTGATGTTGTATATTTTTTTACGCAACCAAGTATTTGTCAGGCACTTGTTTTTGAAAGGGGTGGGGCAGAAAAAAGAATTTGACAACTTACCTGAAAAAAAAAACTTCGAGAAGCAAGGTAGGGGTAGGTTCCAAGTTTTTTCCCAACCAAATTTTATTAACACACTACCCCGTTACCCTGATTTGACTATATTTTTACAAAAAGTGTGGAGGGGGGGGGGGGGGCAAACAGCCTTCAATGAACATTTTCAACAGTAAAAGGTTATGTGTGAAAAAAAGTGGGAGCCCCCCCCCCCCCCCTTCCTCTGATACTATAGTTTGCCTGTCTATCAACGTCTTAATGACGTGGGAGTTATCTCTCTTTACACAGTCAACAAGTTCCCACAGCTTGGGGAATGTGATTAGTCTTGAAATGAATTTATATATCCCATTGTAAAGCTTTCATCCCATATAATCCCATATAATGGAATCTCCTTACCGCAGGTTGAACAAACTTGGATCTACCTTACCTGTCTGATTGAGGATACTTGCATATTATTATCATAATTTTTTAATCATGGCTCTGCTGAGATTTTTAAAAGATATTTTAAGACATATTCCTGCATTTTCTCTTGTAATTTGTTTTAAAAAATTTTCCCGTATATTCCATTGAAAAAAGCTCATTTTGAATCTACCAGAGCATGCTTGCATTTAAATAATTTGACCATGATCATGTTGCATTTACGGAAGCGTATCAGTGCCATG